GCTTCAGCTAAAGGAAAAATTACATTTAAACTTTCTTTACTTTTTCTTACTTTACTTTTTATATATACAATAAATTTTCTTTTACTTTTTATTTGTTTTTAAATACTTAAAATGTACTAGGGAACTTTAACTGGAAAAATTATGTTTAATTTTTTTTACTTTTTAGTCAAAAAAATAATTTTCTTTCAACTTTTTTATTTGTTCTTAGATACTTAAAATGTACTGGGGAACATGGAGTAAATGGCTGAAATACCAACCACTAGATCTTATCAGGTAAAAAATATTTTCAAATTAAAATCTAAATAATGTTTTTAAAATTTTAATTTTTTTAAGTTTTTCAAGTTTAATAAATATCTCCTAATTAAACAAAAGCACCCATAAGTTACTTATGGAGTTAAAACTGAACAGGAAAAGGCTAGTGTAAAAAAGTGTTAATATGTATATTAATGTATTTTTTTGTTGTTGTTTTTTAAGGAGTTATTTCGGAGAAAAAATTGGTTTGTACTTTGCATGGCTTGGTAAAACTTTTTCTATGTTTTTAATTATCAATATTTTATTCTAGAATAAAGCAAAGTTTATTGTTTAATGTAGGTCAATATACAGCCTGGCTTTTGTTGCCCTCCATTATTGGTTTACTAGTTTTTGTTTATGGCTGTGTTACTCTTAATTCGTCAGACAATAGAGATGCGTATGACTTTCTACCTATTTTAAGTTGGCTTGGTTTTTGAAAATCAGTTTCTAACAAATTTATTGTGAGAACCATAATTTCAGAAAAAAAACATGCTAATATTTTCATTTTTATATTTGTTATTTTTGTTTCTTTTTTGTATTTATTTGTAACTCTCTCTCTTGAACCTAAACTCTGAAACACAAAATTTGTTTAACTAGGTGTCAGGTCTCTGCTCAGAGATACAATTCAGAGGATGGATTCAAACCTCAAAACTCTTTATTTATAAAGTCGAAGATAATAATATATATAGTTTTAATTTTACAGTTTAGATATTTGTGAACATGAGGATTGGACATACAAGATGTGTCCACTTTGTGAGGAACACATTGGTTGTAAATATTGGGATTTAAAAACAAGTTGTACGCGAGCCAAGGTATTTAATTTAATTAAATCATTTTTAGATTAAAATATACGCATTAAACAATAATAAACATTAAAGACTGTTAATTTATATTATAAATTAAACCAAAAAAAAACCTGTAAAAACTTTTAACAAAACTCTGAATACATGTATTTTAATTCTGTACTTTGAGTAATATACTCAAAAGTGTTATAATGACTAACCAAATGAAAGTATACTTGTTTTTAAACGGTTGAAATATCTGATTTTTTGACTGATTTTTTCTTAGGTAGTGTTTCTCATGCTCATTTGCTTGTAATTTTATGTTTCTAATAGTTGTTATTCAAAATATATATTTTTTTCCATAGTAAATGCTATGAGCCAATTTACCTCGTGAAGTTTTTGCCAAATAACCCCAAAAGCCTTTTTTTTCAATAAACAGTCTATAGATCCTAAAAAAATAGCAACTAATAAAAAAAAGTTTGATTGGAAATAGTAAAGCAATTGTGACTGAAATTTTTGAAATAATTTTTTTTTCATGCAACTAATTATTTTCCTTGTAAAGTAAAAAAGGAGCGATGTTCCAAAAGTTACATTTTTGTCCAAAAAACACATAAATCCTAATTTCTCCCATGTGCATGTGCAAATCCTAACAATGATGAAAGTGAATGATTTAATGATCAATTAGAAAGGTTCTGTGTAATTTTTGTCACTTTTTGATAAATGGCTCTGAAGATAAATGGAGTTCATCAACTTTCCCCTGTTGCCAACTAGCCCCAGTCTCCCCTACTGCTTAATTCATCATTGTGACAAATCACCCACTTGATGCTTAGTTCATCATTGTGACAGATCACCCTCTTGATGCTTAATTCATCATTGTGACAAATCACCCACTTGATCCTCAGATTGACCTTAACTCAAATACGCATCCCCAATATGTAATCCACATATATAAAACAATAATAATATAATTAAACAATTCAATCACAATGTGCAATTCATATCCGAAATTTAAAAGATTTATCAAATGAAAACAGAATTAATAAAATAAATGTCTCCTTACTGAAAAATAGAAGATCAAAAGGTGATATAGTTTTGCAGGTTTATCAACAACTATAATTATTATATATTTATATAACAGATATAACTAGCTTGTACAATCTAACAATATATTCAAAGTAAATTATCTTACTAGAAGTCACAATAAAATGATATGTAAACAACAAAGCCAAAAAAACAAATGTTTAATATTTTTATAAATCAAAAAGTGGAAAAATAAAACAATGTACTACAAAAACTTGTGAATGCAAAAAAACTTGAATACATTTAAAGTTATCAATGATAAATATATACTAAATTGTAAAAAGCTGTTAAAGTCTGAAATCTACTGTTCTTAAACTTTAAGCACAATTTGTGTATCACAGCTTCTGTTTATTGTTCATTTGGCATTTTTTCATTTAATCGAGACTGCCAACAACCTTTGTATACTTTCTTACTTTCTTGGTAAGAAACATTCTATAGCGGAATTTCAGTAGACCAGTATTGAATTTTTCAGCAGACCACTATAGTTTTGCTCATTGGTTACTTAGTGGACCATTAGTGGCAGACGTCAAAAGGGGCTAGGCAATCACTAACCACTATTAACATGTCAGAAATTTATCAGCTTATCATTTATAGTGGCTGCCGCTGATAGTCCACTAAGTAATATGAGCAAAACTCCAATAAACCACTAAAAAATGCTTATATTAATCCACTGCAAATCCACTAAAAAAATGTTTGCTGGGTTGGTACCCGGTTGATATAGTATTGAAATTATTACTATTTGATTTAAATTAAATTTATTCTGATTCATTAAACAATTTACTTTAAGTTGCAAACCTCAGTCATGCATTGAATGTTTTTATATAAATGGTAAACTCTTTAGAAATAAAAAGTAATAGAAAATAATGTATAAATTTTTGATAATGCAAATATTTTTTTGATATAAAAAAAATGTATGCAAATCAAAAAAGTATATATGACATTTAAAATTATCTAAATAGTTTTTTTGCAAGTAATTATTTAGATAATTTTAAATGTTTATTTCTTATTTTATTTATTTAAAAGTCAAAAAATAAAAAATCGCTTTAGAGGTTGCTTATACCAGATTAAAATTTTTTATTCATTATAGTATTCATTACAGTCCAGTATAATATTTGTCTTATTGTCTCAAACATTATAACATATATTTTGTATAATGCGACTGCAATGTTGTTTTTCATAATTTCAAGTTACAAATAAAAAAGTTTAATGGTTTTTAAAATACAGGTAGTATATCTAAATATATTTGGTTGATGTTTACTTTTTGTCTCTAAGTTTATTTTTATACCTACTTTAGCTATCTTATCTGTTTGATAATTCAGCAACTGTGTTATTTGCTGTGTTTGTTTCAATATGGGGTAAGGTTTTTTGTTTTGTATTATTATTATTATTATTATTATTATTATTATTATTATTATTTGCTTTACATTATTGTACTTTATATAGCTTTTATGAAAGTCACCATTTTTTAAACTTTTAAATTTTATTGTTTTTAACAAAAAAAAAATTTAAAGTAAAATGTTACCTCTATTTTGTGGTAATATTAAAGCTGTCATTCTAAATAATTAAGTTAGTAAAATGGTCTTTCAAAACCAATTAAAAGTGAAAACTGCGGTAGTTAAATAAAATAGTTAAATAAAAATATTGAGTATAAATAGTTGAATAAAAGCACTAGTTGAAAAAATAATTAAATAAAATCCCTATTATTGAGTGTAAGCACTCAATAATAGGGATTTTATTGAGTGTAAGCACTCAATAACAGGGTTATTGAGTGCTTTTTTTTCTTTTTCTAACCTGTTAGGTCTAAAACAAAAAGAAAATTGCTGTCATTCTAGAAAAACTTTGCTTCTGTGACTGGGACAATGAAATTTGGAAAATTGCCTGTTTTCGAGATAGTTCTTGATTTGCTTTCAATGCCGAGCTTCCTTCTATAATATTCCTGAGTTGTCCAGATGTTTCTACAATTCTCCTAAACACTCTAGAACAATCAAGAAACTTCCAGAACTTTTGAGAAACATTAAGAAGTTTCTAAAACGTTCTTGAACATTCCAAAAGTAGCTGTTTAAGTATAAATGAACAGGTGTCTTGAACCAAGATTCCAATTTGTGTTATTGCAGACTAAAAATATAATGATTCATAATTAAAAAGAAATTATTTATTTGATATGGCATTAACAGGTTGTTTGCATCCAGCTGATTCATTCTGCTATGTGTGAGTACTATTCATAAAGATGAAAGCGAAAAAGTATTCCATTAAAGCAAGTTGTATAATGTGCGATGCCCACAAGGCATACTTTAGCATGCCGGTTAGGGATCAAGAGAAATTGTAGGCAATGCATTTCACATGCGAGTATTACAAGGAAACACTTAAAGGTAAACTGAACAGTTGCTTCTTGCTTAGATGTGTTTTAAATTGTTTTCATTTCAAAGAGTTATTTCTAATTTTTTGTCTTAAGTCATGTAATGTAGTCAAATAAATCTTAAAATCATTCCATATTTTGAAATTTCCTGTTCTCAAATTATTATATTCTAAGTATTATTATGTGCTATGTTACAGGTTGGTACAGAGGAGAAAAGCAAACCATAAAGTTTGCTATCCTGCAAATTTGGCGAGAGCTGACTGACCAACTGCTACTTCTGCATGGTAAACCCAAACAATTGTCACACTTGCAAAAATGCCCCTCTTTTGTTTATCCAGACATACCTTCTTCAGTTACCCCAGTACCACACCACTCCAATCTGCCTCTTCTAACTCCTCCTAGGCGCCCATCTTTAGGAGACAGCAGCAATCAGATAGCGAGGCTGATACTGGAAATATGGACTACAATTCCACAGATGAAGTTGGGGATAGAAAACCGTATTTCCCTAACCAGAAAGACTTGAACATTTTTATTAGGGGTCTTGAGCTTACAGAATCAAATGCTGAGTTTCTGATATCCAGGCTCAAACACTGTAACCTGGTTGATGATATTGTACAAGTCATGGATCAGAGGAAGTGGCATCAAAGATTCTCCATCTTCTTTAGTCAGCATGATGGGCTGTGCTTCTGCAACCATGTTGCCGGTCTATTCTAGGCTATAGGTATCACATGAAGTCCTATTAAATGACTTCTACTCATAGACAGTTCATCCTGGAGCCTCAAAGCCATGTTGCTTCACAATAAAAACAACTACCCGTCTCTCCTAATGACCCACTCTGTGCATCTCAAAGAGGACTACACCAGTGTCAAAATGTTGCTGAATGCATTTAAGTATGACAACTACAGATGGGAAGTTATCGGTGACTTTAAACTGGTATCATTCTTCATGGGTCTTCAAGGAGGTTTCACAAAATTTCCTTGTTTCCTTTGTCTCTTTGGGATAGCCGTGACACTAAAGTGCATTATCGCACAAAGGACTGGCTACAAAGGAGTTTTCTGTTGAGAAGCGCAAGATGCTTTATGAGGTTTTATCAGTGGGAAGCTGCTGATAGAACTTCATAAAGTGGTTATGCCTACTGCTGCACATCAATTTAGGCCTCATTAAACAGTTTGTTGATGCTCTTGACAAGGCATCAGCAGCATTTTAAAGTCCATATCCTTAATTCACATCTTGAAAAATTTAAGGAGAACATGGGCGTTTACTCTGAGGAGCAAGGTAACCACTTTCATCAAGTTATATTGGACTTTGAACGTTGTTACGTTTGTTAGAAAAGTATAATGAAAACATGATGGTGGACTACATTAGGGAGCTGCTTTGAGAGAGTGATTTATATTACAATTATAAACCTAAAAAATATGAACATTTCTGAACTTTTTTTAGTGGTTTCCAACTGTGTTTGTCTATTCCTTGTGCAATTTTTGTTTTTACCTGATCATAATGAAAAAAATAAAAAATAAAACATTCTATTTTCACAAAATAACAAGTTTTCTTCACGCTGTTGTCGTGTTAGCAAAGTTTATGCTTAATCAATTCGTTTTTTTACATACTTTAGACATAAGCAATTGAAATATAACACTTAGAAGCCAGGAACAAAAATTGTGTTACATAGCGTGATATATATGAATATAAAGAAAATATAAAAATATTATATGTGTATATGTATATATATGTGTAAATATAAATTTATAAAATTTATCTAAAAATTATAATAGATATATAAAATATATAATTCTTTACATAATATAAAAATTTCTACACAATAACTTGCATAATAATTTTATATTACATATATAGTTTTGAGCAAAATAAAAAAAAAGCAGTTTACAGTGTAGTTTGCACAAGAATTTTTAATTTTATTAATAGAGAAAAAAAAAGTGGTTTATGTTTATGAAAATAAAAAATACTTTTGCAAGAGCCATAAATGGCTCCCACTTATCACTTTAGGGGGAGTGTGGGCAAAAGCGAGAGCTAAAGCTCTCACTTCCTGCTGAGGCTTATATATATATACACCCCTGGGAATTTCTTTAACCTAACTGTCAAGTTGAAAGTTATTGAGTTTGGCAAATAATTGCTGACCTCAATTTTATGTTTTATGGTAAGAACTTTGTGTCAAAAAAACCTGATTTTTCATAATTCCAAGGACTGTATATATATATATATATATATATATATATATATATATATATATATATATATATATATATATATATATATATATATATATATATATATATATATATATATATATATATATATATATATATATATATATATATATATATATATATATATATATATATATATACATATATATATATATATATATATATATATATATATATATATATATATATATATATATATATATATATATATATATATATATATATATATATATGGGCAATTCCATGTGAAAGAGGAGAAAAAAAAATTATTAAAACATATATTTAACTCCATAATTCTTTTTAACTATTCAAAAATACTTTTAAGCAAAAAAAAATTTAAAAACCACTTTATCATACGGTAACATGGTTTTAAAGGTGTAAAGGTTGTATAAATGTGTTTGAGGTTTATTAACAGTCATGTTGTGTAGCATTAAAAATTGTATTGTAAAACCATAATTGAGAACTTTGATAATGTTAGCACCTTTTTTTAACATAATCTACATGGTTTTCAATAACCATTAACACTTTTTTTCTTACATCATTGATTGGGTCATTTGGGATCAAAACTTCAGGTAAAAACTATGAAATCCAGCATAAAATAGTATCAATATCTGCTAAATATTTTTTCATGTATCAATAGTATCACTATCTGCTAAATATTTTTTCACCAAGTGATTTTTTTTTTTTACCATGCCTTTCCTTGCTTTAAGTCTGACAAAGTTGTTTTGTTCAAACATGGTAAAAAGAAAACGTTATAACCATCATGCTGCATAGAGTAAATTTTTATAAAAAAGTTCAAGACTATAATGCTATTACTTTTGTATGCTAAATTATATGATTGTATTTCACATTTCTGAAAAGTCATTTTCATTTTCAATTAACTTTTAATAACTTGAAGAGTAACAAATATTACAACCACCACTCCCGCAGAGTTGCGAATAAAACTTACAAAAGCTTACAACATGTGAGCTTCTACCAAAAACCTATGTTAGGTAATCCTTAGTAATTATAATAAGATTAACCTTAAAAAGCTTCAAAAGCAATGATATTACCTATCCCAGTTTGAAATTGACTCAATTAAACTTCAATAATTTCTAACTACATCCAGAAAATGTTAAACAATATTTGGTTTAAATTTAGTTAAAAGTTAATCAAGTTAACTTTCTAAAGCTGTTACAATGCAGTTCCTTCTGCATTGTTCTATAATTTGTTGTTATGATTATGCCTTGTCTTTTGCTTGTTACACAATGGTATTTGCTGATGTTTAAATACATTTTTATATGAGAACTTAAATCATAATGTTTAAAACTAGTTGCATATTTGTCATATTTTTATTTTAGCTTTTTTATTTCTTGAATTTTGGAAACAAAAGGAAATAACTTTAGCATATCGTTGGGATTGCTTAGATTATGAGTTAGAGGTAGAGAAACCTCGCCCTTCATATGCTGCACTTGCTCCAAATATAGAACCAAATCCTATCACTGGTATTCCTGAACCACATTTCCCATCTAAGCAGCGTGTGCCACGAATCTACTCTGGAATCTTGATAGTTTTTACTATGGTTTGTTTATTAGTGTTATTATTTCAAATTATTTTCTTCATTTTTTTTTCTTATTCATAGAGATGCTATTTTTAGAATCTGTTTATTTTTAATATTCTAATTTAGTAGAAATATTGATCTTTATAATTTTTAATTTTTCAATCAATTTTATAATTTAAACTTTTTTTTCTAATAAATTTTATCTTTATTTTTGTTAAACAGGTGTCATTAGTTTTGATTTTTTTGCTTGGCGTTATTGTTTATAAACTGTTAGTATACAGACCTTTAGCTCGCAACGATTATACAGCACACAGAGCTTTGTTAATAGCAAATGTAACAGGTGCTTTTTGCAATCTTATATGCATCATGATCTTATCAAGGGTAATAGTTTTTAATAAAATAATTTTTTCAATATAGCTTTTAATAAAATAACTTTTTCAATATAGCTTCATCATTGTTATTTATTTAGTTTATCGAATTTAATATTTTTTTGGCTTTCAAAAAAAACTTTATTACAAAAAAAAAACATATTCGAAATGCATAATATGTTATTAAATTATAAATTTGTTTATTTAACTTTTAACACTTTAAACAAATTATTTAATAATATCACTGTATTTAAAATAATTTAGGTTAATGAAAGAAAAAAAAATTCATTTTCAATATATATATTATGAATAAAATAATATTTTGTTGATAATGGGAAATTTTTTCACGATCCTTTCAATACTTTTTAATTTTTTTTTTTTTTATATCAGTTACATGTATTATTTGTATATTGTATACTATATTTCTTATATTTATATTTTATAATATTATATTTATGCATAACTTTGCATTGCTTTTATGACAATATTTAAACCTATGTTGTTTAGTAAATTGCTTAGTACATAGTGATGTTGTTTAGTAGATAGTGATTTTGTTTAGTACATAGTGATGTTATTTAGTACATAGTGATTTTGTTTAGTACATAGTGATGTTGCTTAGTACATAATGTTGTTGTTTAGTACATAGTATTGTTGTTTAGCACATAGTGATATTGCTTAAAGCATAGTGATGTTGTTTAGTACATAGTAGAATTATTTGAGTAATTTTAGTAATTAAAAATTGTTGTTCAGGTATTTGGATATAATATAAATTGGATATAAGGTATTTGGATATAAAACCACAAATAGTGGTTTTTAGAACAAACATTTATATGATTTACAAGTCAAGGTTTAAATAGTAAACCTTAATTTACAAATCATATAAATGAAATAATACTGTAATAAAAAAGAAAAAAAAAACAATAAAGAATAAAAAACTCATAACTACTAAATAACTAATAATTATTTTTGTTTACAAATTTTTTTGCATACTGTTTTCACTTTTATCTTTTTATATTATTTTTTATTTGTATATAAAGTTTTCGTTTTTTTAGGTTTACGAGAAAGTTGCTCTAGCCCTAACTCATTGGGGTATGGGTTCTAAAGATTAATCAAATCATTCTTTAATACATTTTAGTTAAATTAAGTTGATTAGAAGTGATATTAAAATGTTTTTTAATTTATAAAAGATAAAATAATGTTTTAAAGGAAATGAAATCTACAAATTTATCCATAATGCTGGCAATGCAATATAATAAAAACATTTATTTTTAGAAATGCATCGCACACAAACTGAGTATGAAGATAACTTAACATTCAAGGTTTTTGTGTTCCAATTTGTCAACTTCTACGCATCAATTTTTTACATTGCTTTTATCAAAGGAAGGTGAGCTTTTACCTATTATATTTGAAACTTATAATCATGCAAACTTTATTGACTCAATTTGTAATTTTAAAAAGAAAGAACGTGTTTGTAACCAAAAGAAAGAATGTGTTTGTAACTAAAAAAATGAATGTGTTTGTAACCAATAGGCTTACTATTTTTTAATTTAATTTTCAAGATTTTTTTTTTGATTTTTAACTTATTTTGTATATATATAAATATATAAAATAAAATCATATGTAACATAAATTTATTGTTACATAATACAACGAATAAAGTCAAAATTATTCATAAAATAGTTTAAATTGAATTAAATTTATATTTAAACTTTTAATAGTTATATTTAATATTAATTTTACTATAATTTTAACCAATAGACTGACTGGTTATCCTGGTAATTATAGACAATTATTTGGCCTTCGTTTGGAGGAGGTGAGCAATTTTTTTCTTGATTTGGAGGAGGTGAGCAAATTTCTTGTAATTATTAAAATGTTTTTTTCTGTTCAAGATTTTTTTATTAATGGTACAACATTTGTTTCAAAATATTGCACAACAAATATTATAAATATACAAATACTATGAATATACAAATATTATGAATATACAAATATTCAATTTAAACTATATTTTATATAATTCAAAATATTGCTCAACAAAATTAAGGAACTTTAAAACTCTTTTAATTTAATTTTCAGCTTTTAAAATGTTTTTTTGTTATTAAGGTGACCATTAGCCTGGTTTTTACGTAGGAGAGCACAGCACTAAACTATTTAAGATTAATTAAGCGCTGCCCTCTCCTACGTAAAAACTAAGAAAATGTTCACCCTAGTTGTTATACACCCTAGTTGTTATACATAGTTCCTATTGAAGTCAATTTTATTCAAAAAGTTAAATATCTGATATAAATAGCATCAACAACAAAAATTTTTAGCTTATATATTTTTAATTTAAATGAATAGCTTTTAAATAAATTAAATATATTTCTATAACAGTGTGGCCCTGGAGGTTGCATGGCTGACCTTGCTCAACAGCTTATTATTATTATGGTGGGCAAGCAAGTAATTGGAAACATTCAAGAAGTCATGATACCGTATAGTTTTACATTAAAATTTGTTTAATTATAATATGAATGTTAAAGTAAATAAAATAATTAAATACATTAGTATTTTTTAGTAAAATATTTGTTTATAATAACTGAAGTTAGCTTATAATAACTGAAGCTAGCTTATAAAACCATTCTTAATAATAAATGTATTAACAACAGACTTATCAAGCAAAAATGGAAAAAAAGAAAAAGGGGAAAGGAATCAACTGAATTAAAACCAAGATGGGAAGATGATTATGAACTTGTTGAGAATGAAGGTCTTCGAGCAGAATACTTAGAAATGGGTCAGACATTTTCAGTTTTTTTTTTAATATTTTTTAATAATAATATAAAGCAAGTTTAGTTTGGCATTTGCATTATTTTAAAAATAAAAATCATTCTTATTTAGTCATTCAGTTTGGTTTTATAACTATCTTTGTGGCAGGGTTTCCGTTAGCGCCATTTTTTGCTCTTGCAAACAATGTTTTTGAAATTCGTATTGATTCAAATAAATTGATCTGTGAAACAAGACGACCAATTGCAGACAGAGCCCAAGATATAGGGATATGGTACAATATATTGGATGCAGTTGCTAAAATTGCTGTAATATCAAATGTATGTTTAATTTTTTTTTTTTTTTTTTTGTTTTTCAATTTAAAAAAAAATCTAAATCTTGTTTCAAATGTAAAAAAAAAACCTTTTTTGTTAATTTTGATTTTTTGTTAACATTTTTTGTTTTTCATAATTATTTTTTCCTTCTAGTTATAGTTGACCGTTCTGCTCTCTTGTTGCATTTTTTTTATTTTTAAAGTAAAAACTTTTACCCATAAAGTATAAAAAGTATAGCTATGTTATGTTTTGTTTATCACTACAGAAATCTTTACTGAATGCATTTGTTGTGCAATTGTAAGTCTCTACTGGGTGATTATTATAGTTTTATATTTTAAACATTTTAGCAACTCTGTCTTATAAAAGCTATATCTCTGTTTGTGTCTCTCATATCATCTATATCTCTGTCTACGTGTCTCATATCATCTAAATTTGTGTCTACATGTCTTATATCAGCTATATATCTGTCTGTTTTTCTAATATCAAATACACAAACTTTCACATTGTTTTAGTTTTTCTTGCCTACATTTCTCTATATATTTTTGCATTTTTTATTTTTCTCTAGTTTCTTTTGACAAACTTCCCCATTTGCTGTGTGGCAATATACAAATTTTTTAAAAGCTCAGAAGTCTCCTTCTGGACCTACCTTTTTTCTGGACCTTTCTTTTGTTCTTTTGCACAACCCACAAAAGCAGTAATAATAATTTAGATGGTTCCAATGCTAGTTTATATATGGTACAAGAATGCCAGAGTTGATCCATTCATTTAATTTTTTCTGGTAACTATGTTCCTGCTCTTTGTTTATCTTGTATTCACAAATGATACTATTGTTTGCAGGCTCATTTTTCCAGTTCCATGATGCTGTCCACTTTTTTTTATTGATCATTGTCATGAAGTCCTAATGCTTTATTTTGTTTATTTTGTTCTCTTTACTTCTTGTTGTATTAATCACATTACATTTTGTTTCATTTATTCTGTTTTTGTTTTTTTTCTTGTTGTAGTAACGGCACCATATTTTATTTTGTTAATATCATTCTCTAGATTTCTTGTCTCGTTAATAACACTTTATCTTGTTTTGTTCATTTTATCACCATAAATAACAACTCCAAATTTTTCAATCACATTCATTCAAAAAATCAAACTCAAATGGTTTTTCTTTTACAATTAAAGAATTAATCAAACTGTGTACTCCATCAGTTTCCAATTTAGTTACCATTTCACCTAGCACTTGAACAGTTCCTCCTAAAGTTTTAATGAGATTTTAAATTTTTAAAACAAGGCCATGTGTGGATTCTACATGAATCACTGTTTGGAGCATTCAGAATCAATTAATGCTTTTCAGAGCATTCCATTTATTTACACTTTCAATTATGGCAATGTTGTTTCTGGCCAGAATATTGGATGCCATTATTTCCAAACTCTCCTTTTTCATTTTTAACTTTGCAATCGTTTGAAGCATGATAGTGTGAACAAAATTGCCTCGCAGACCTGAATTACTTGCATAACGCCCAAGTTTTATACAATTGAAACTTGTAGTTTCAATTGTATGTGTTCAATTTGTAGCAAAAGCAATAGTGTTCAATTTGTAGCAAAAATGTTATTGTTTTCCTCTTGGATTCAGTTACGTCTGTTGCAGTTATGTATGTTCATAGTTAGAAGATTAAGCACTAATGGCTCCCATTGAATACTGGTTACATAACTGCTAAAATAGATTGCTGCATTGTTGCATTAATTTTTCATTTTATTTTCATAGTTAAAAAGTCCCAAAGACTTTTAACTACAATTGTCATTAAATAACTGTTAAACATTCATCATAAAATAATGAATGACTTTCAAAACAATTATCTACGTGATCTTTATCATGTATTATTACAAATCACCAATTTTACAATAGAACAAGAAATGGTATTTTTTAAAAAAATTACCTTATGGAAGAATAAATACATTACATTGCCATTGACTTTAAAGTATTTTTAGTTGGGTCTAATAACATAATTAAAATTTCAGAATCTAATACACTTTTACTTTCCAATGTACTTTTTACTGTTTTTGCTGTTTTCCAGTTTTTTTGCAAATTATAGACTCCTAACATTTTTTTGAAAAAATATATTTGTTTAAATCAAACATTTTAAATAAATTTGGAATTATTTAATATAAAATTTTAAAAATATATTTTAATCATAAAAATATGATATGGTTTATTGTTGAAATTCTTTGATAAAGTTTTTATGTTTTTTTTATTTTTACTACACTACTGATGCATGAAACTTGTAAATGTCAAATGTTTTCAGTGGAATACTTTAAAAAAAAAATTTTTTTTTGTCTAATATGTTAAATGCTTGATGCTAATTTATCTTTTTATGATTGCAGTACTTTTGGAGGGTAAGAAAAGTTACTGCTATCCAATGATAGCTGTAATACTTTATTAAAAGAAAATCTAAATGTCTTTATTCTTAAAGACTGCGTTTTGAATTAAATTTAAAAATTCAGACCAAAAATAAGCATCTATTTGTTTGGGAAATTACTTTTTCTTGAAATAATATTTAAAAAAGGACACTAAAACCTGAATCATTGCTGAGTCTGTACTTACTGAAAAAAAAATTTAATTGCTATACATAGAGAATCTGCAACTGCTATTATTGCCAAAGTTATTTAATGATTTTAAAGATTTGCACCTTTAAATGTGTTTAAAGTGTTATTAAATTGTATTAAGAAGCTAAATATTTGTGGCTGTCACAGGTGAGAGAGTTGGGTCAAAATTAAAACATGGTGTAAACTACTAATTTCCTTGGTATGAAATGCTGTTGTTGTACATGTTTTGGCTCTTACAGATGATCATTCAATACATGGCTGGCATTCAAAATAGCATTCAAAAACTGGCCTAGTAATTATCGGACTTGTTGCTTACCGATAATTACTAGGCCAGTTCTTAGTCAAGTTCTTTGTTTGTTTAAATTTTTTGTTCTCAAAAAAAAAACAATAGCAAACTTTTATTATATATATATATATATTTTTTTTTGTAATTTTTTTTTTTTGTCTTAAAAATATCTTAAAAATAACAAATTTATGCTCCCAGTGAATTAAGTTTATATACAGAATTAAATGCAAACCATCTAAATTCGCTGAAATATGTATTGGTCATGTCGAAAAAAATTATTAAATAAGGCAATCAAAATACACTAGACTTTACAAAGAATTCTATTTCAATAATTCATACAAATAAAGATTTAAGGCCATCTTTACTTCCTACTCCTATAACTTTAAGAGAGATTTCTACAAAAAGACCATATTCTTATTCAATGGTAGATGAAACAGTGATTTTCAAAAACAAGATAAGATTTGTTCAGTAAATAATATATGCGGTAGTGGTGTAGTGGTAAGAGCGCTCTCTTTGTAAGCAAGAGGTTCGGAGTTCGACTCCCACCATGTCCCTGGAAGTACCGCACTCAACTTAACTTCTCCGCACAGCGGCCTTGCTTGTCAAGGTTCATGTTTCGGTAGCCTCCTCGACTGTAGTGGCCCCTTCGTGCCTTGGGGTGGTGAATAATAAAAATTAAAAAAAAAAAAAAAAATTGATTTGACAGAAAAAATTTGTCTTTAAAACTTTTTATTTAAAAAAATAAATGGTGGCGATATTTATTATTGTGTAAAAATATAATTGAGGAAATATTTTATCAAAGAAAATTTATATTCTTATTTCTTGATAAAATGAAAACTCCGAAAATTTTTGTTTGGAATAAAATTATAAAGAATTAATTAGTTATGTTGATTTGGGTGTTTAGTAAAGTGTTTTGTGTATTGTGACATCGCAATAACAAGTGTAACCTTTTTCTTTTAAGTATTTTTTAATTAAAAGTAATGTTAACCCTTTTGTAAATCTCCAGGTTTGTTTGTGGAGTTACATCATCACCAGGTTTGTTTTTGGAGTTTTTGTATCATCAAACAAAACTGATGTCCATCTTAAATCCGAAAAATAGTTTTATTAAATATTCATAAAAATAATGTTAACAATAATAATAATGGTAAAAGTTAAAATAAAAACTATAATGAATTATGATAAATTTTCTAGTTATTTATAGTTTTTACTGTAACTAAGGTTATGAAATAACTATAATAAAAATTAGTTTAGGTAGTCAAATTTTTAGCCATAACATTAATACTGTTTAACAATATATGAGGAGCCCATCTGCAAAACGCACCAAAGTTACATAAATAAAAATTTTGAGTTAATTATATTTCCATGTTCTATATACTTAAATCTATCATTTATTTAAATATTGGACCAATTAAAAACGTTTTGGTACTAAAAATGGACAAAGATATCAATTTCTGTTGATGCTGATGTTGATATTGAAATATCAATTTCTGTTAATGCGCAACTTAAAGTTTTTTGTTGTTTTCTCAAAATCAGTTTCCTGGAATTTAGCGCGTTTTTCAAATGGGCTTAAAACTTTAAAATTTAAGAAATTTTTTGTACTGTTTTTGCCAAACTTTGAATCACAGTGCATTGTAATATAAAATATATAATAAAATGATACATATATAGAATAGATTAAATAAAAGCTGTAACATAGTACAATTGAAATTTATTTAATAAAGTTTTTATTTTTATTTATTTTTTCATTTTGATATCATAGGCATTTCTAATTGCATTTACATCAAACTTTTTTCCAAAATTACTTTATCGAACATCAATATCATTAAATGGTTCTTTGGAAGGCTATTTGAATTATTCATTAGCAGTATCACCACAAAATACAACGTTACAACCTTGCAGGTAATATTATATATAATATTGCAGATAAAAATATTTTGGTAACCCTATGCGCACATCACTGGTGATTTAGTACTGATTCAATACTAATTATAAGTGGTAAATGAATTTAATAGTGTATTTGCAAACTTTTGATTACTAATGACTGCAATATTGACAATTTGTCATTAGTAAATGAGCAGTGATTATCACCACCGATTTAATACACTGATTTAACTTATTTAATGCACTAATGATTGAGGTGAATGAATTGGTGATTGAGGTGAGTGAATTTGTGATTGAGGTGAATGAATTGGTGGTTGAGTTAAATGAATTGGTGATTGAGTTGAATGAATTGGTGATTGAGGTGAATGAATTGGTGATTGAGGTGAATGAATTGGCGATTAACCCTTATTGTTAATAGGTAATATAGTACTTATTATATAGTGTTTTTTTGCTAGTAAAAATCAGCTTTTTATATAATACTTTATAAGATGGATTTATTGATAAATAACTATTTGAACGCCAAATTCTATTGGCTTCAAAGATAGTAATGAAAAACATAATAATCATCAGTTTGGTTTAGAAAAGTTATAAAGATATAATTCTGAAAATCATTTTTGTAAATTTAGTGACTTTTAGAAAAAAACTAAATGAATGTAAAAAAAAAAAAACTATAAATACAAATTTTTGGATAATGTTTTATTGCATCCTATTTATTAAAACAATGGAATTAAAACCCATAACTTTATGATTTAATTTTTTTCAGAACTTTTCATAGTTTTTTTATACAGATTGAATATTTGTATTACAATTGTCCTTGTGATGATGATGATGATGATGATGATGATGATGATGATGATGATGATGATGATGATGATGATGATGATGATGATGATGATGTTACTTAACATATTGCACATATTTATTTTGAATTTAATTTGTTCTCATTACTTTTTAATAATTTTACAGAATCAGGTAACTTGTATTTGTTATTTACATAAGAGTAGAATAATTTCCAATTTTAGCAATCTGATTCTTTAATTTTTACTTCTTTGTTACTTTTTTAAGTCATCTAGAATAATCACAATTTTTATGAGTATGGGGCACCATGAAACATTGTAATTGTGGAGGCATCTTAAGAGTTGTGACAACCACTTTCATATAATAAAACAGTTACTACTAAAAGCTATTTTTTGAAAAAAAAAAATTATATCATTTAACATCATTAGGCCTGCAAAGGATCGAAGTTTGTATTTTTTTAAGGACAAAGTAATTTATTAGTTTTTAAAGCTCATAAATTTTAGCGTACCTTATTTAATGTGTCTATCGGTAAGTGACATTTTGTAAACTACAATCCATAAGCTCTATGCTTTATTAAACAAAATCATTTAAAAACAAGTTGATACTAAAAATAATGCGACTGTTTTCTATTAGAAAGTATGGGATAACTTGATACAGAATTTGTGGGGGGCCCTAAAACTGTAGAATAGTACTCCATTGTGTCAAAACAAAATTTTAAAATCATTTCTTTTAATATTTATTGTTAATTTTTGAAAAGATTTATGTAATTATAATACAAGGAGATACAATTCCGATAAAAAGTCATTATTTACTGACACTTAAAACGATATATTATCTGGTCTTCTATAGTATGATTTGGACCATTGGATACATTATTTTTAATTATTTTATAATTAATAATTTGTTTATATTTTAAGTAGCAATCTGCCTTTTCACTATGTTTTATTCAAATATAAGGGGATTTTTCAAATCAAATCTCGAATCACTTTTTTGATTCTAATCGAATTATCAAGGCTTTGCCGGGCCCTAATATATGTGTGTGCATATCTATATATATATATATATATATATATATATATATATATATATATATATATATATATATATATATATATATATATATATATATATATATATATATATATATATATATATATATATATATATATATATATATATATATATATGAAATAAAAATTATCATTTGCGAATAATGATAGTTTTTAAGTTTTAATTTGTTTTCATTTACTAAAGTACAGAACACTGAAGAATTTAATTATGAATAAAATGTATTTGAGTTTTAACAATAATTTAGATATAAATTTTGAACCAATTTCAGCCTTTAAAAAACTAAATTTTAATTTGTTTTCATTTATTATAAGTAATTTAAAAAAATGAAAAAAAATAATAACTTGTATTCTTACTTGTAAGATTTTTTAGCTAGCAAAGAAATTAGCAAACTTGTCTCTTGGATTTTTTCTCGACTACAGTTTTTAAAAACTTTAAAAAGAAAAAACTGCAAAAAAAACATCGATCTTATTGATAAAAAAAAAATTATTTTAGTATTATTGCAACTAATGGTAACCAACTCAAATCATGTTTTCAAATCAAATGAAATTTTCCGAAATAAATCAAATTTTCTTTTTTTTATTAATTTTTTCATGTTTTTATTTGCATTAATGGCTCATTGTAAAAGTTTACATTCAGAAAGCTGCACAAAGCACAATAACATACTAAGATCTTGATACATAAGTAACACTTAAACTTCTTCAATAAAATAATCCTTGACCAGTCTTTCTATGGTATTTGTCTCTTCAAAATCAAAAGCCAAGATTACCAACCAGGTTGTGATCGATACCCGATCGCCACTGTACGAAAAAATATTAATAAAGTACCAGTGATGCGCGCATAAGGTAGTATTGTTGGCGTATCCAGTATTACGATGGAAAAGAGAGGGGAGAAAAGGAATTTTATCTTCAAAAACAAAAGTATTGCTAGAGATTTTTTATTTGGAAGTTAACAAAAAATTAAAAGAAACTTTAATTGCACGAGGTTTAAGTCTCACCAATAATACTTTGAATACAATGATATAGTTAATAATAACGATAGAAATAGTATTAATATATTCCTTAGCTTGAATAAGCAATTTTTATAAAAAAATCTTCCACAATAAATTTGATAAACAATTTAATGATCTTTATATTAACTCAAATATTTGATGAACAACTTTAACTTCTAAAGCTTTAACATTAAATTTAGACAAGTTATTTTCATGAATGTGGAGAAATTGTAAAGCTTTTAATTTATGACTTTAATTTTTATTTGGCTATTAATTTTAGCGGACAATTTTTGTTTATAATAGGTATCGTGATTTTCGCGACGATGAAGGTCGATTAACTGAATTTTACTGGCATTTGTTGGCCATGAAGCTAGGTTTTGTCGTTCTGTTTGAAGTAAATTAATTGTCGTTGTTATAAAAAAATTATTGAATTCATTTAATAGTTTTTAGATTATGAAACTTATAAAGTAATATTTGTTGTTTTTGCAGCATTTGATATTTGCAACCCACCAGTTTCTCGACTTCTTGGTAGTCGATATACCTGAAGAATTAGATATAGCTATTAAGAAGGAGGCTTATAATGCTAAAAAAGCTATGGCGGATCATCTAAATCTTGTTACTACAAACTCAGAAGATGAGCTAAGCGACCGCAGCCTAAAAATTAGACTGCAATAAAGTTGGTTACTTTAAATATATTCCCTTTGTTTTTTTAAACATCAAAAGGCTGTTTGCACTTTTTTTGCCAAAAGAAATCATTAGAGCGTGCTCCAATCAAATATTTCAAAAGAAAAAAATTGAAAAGGAAACGAGGTGGGAGTTAAAAACTCTTAGATCTATTACAATTATTTTCTTGTTTACTTATAAATAACAGCGTGTACAACAAGATTATAGTTAATATATAATAATTATAGTTAATATTAATTTAACTTACAAAAATTCAGTTTGTGAGTTATTTGTATTCATATATGATAATGCAACTATGCAAAACTTAAAAAACATTTGTTAACGATTTCGTTTTCAGCAATTTTGAGGTTTTTTATTTGAATGTTTCATCAATTTCTTTTAATGTGTTTATAATACCAAGACTTTTTTTAAACAATTCTTTGCCATCAATTCTAAGCGTGATAATCTGTTGATGTTACTATTTAAGCAAAACATCATTGATTAGTTTTTCCGCTTGCAATAAATAATGTATATTTTTAGTCTATTTTTTTTTTTATTAGTTTGTTTTGTCTTTCAACAAACAAACTTTGAAACAAAGCATAATGGGGCAAAATAACTAATTTCAAAGCAAAACTTATTTTACTTATTTAATGCTATATTTACTAAATCTGGCATGAGTTCCGAAATCTGCACTTTTTGTAAGTACAATATTTTTTAATTTGGTTATTTGGGTACCTAATTATACATAGCAATAAAATCTTTGTTGTCACAGAGTCAATTTTGTAGTCACAGAGTCAAATTTTGATACAAAATTCAGACTTATCTATTAATTGTAAAAAGATTTAATTTTGTTGAATCTAGGTTTTTTTAATGCCCTGGTGACACAAATGCATGTATGTTTGTACATTTTAACATTACTAAAGTACAGAACACTGAAGAGTTTAATTATGAATAAAATATATTTGAGTTTTAGCAATAATATAGATATGAATTTTGAACCAATTACAGCCTTTAAAAAATCCATAAAAATAATAACGACTAAAAACTGCTTAAGCAACTGCAGAACACCTTCTGCTAGAGCCTACTTTCCGGTAGAGCTACTTCTGGTAGAGCCTACTTTTCGGTAGAGCTGCCTCTGGTAGAGCCTACTTTTCGGAAGAAATGACTAGATCGCTAAAACAAATTAGTTATTAAATAGATTCTCATTACATTTTACCCTCATTTGCCGCCATAAAGTACTTCCGTCAGTAAAAACTCCGGAGTAGTTTTGTAGTTTTGCCAAATTTTCTGAATATGAACTTGTTCCGTGAACAATTTATAAGAATGAGAATATTGAAAATAAATAAAAAAAAAAAAAAATTTTATCTTTAATGATTTCTTTTTTAATATTAAGAGTTAAAAGAAAATAGCAAATCGTTAAATGACTTAATGCAGTTTTGTGCTACAGTTTGAAATTGGATAATAGAAAAATCTGTCGATGAAATAATAATTTAACTTATTTAGTTTAAATAACAATTTTTTTTTTTTTACCACCAATAATAACAAAATGTATCGTTGTTAAAAGAACGCGGGAAAACTTGCCATTAAGAAACCGCTTTATATTAGTAGTAGTGCTTTTGTATGCATAATTTACTTTATTTATTTAATGTTTTATTTTTATTAATTACGGTTGTTTATTTTTTTTCGATCAAAAAAAATAAAAATCCTCAATTTTTTATGTTTTCTTTCTCTAATATAATAAAAACTTGTGTTCTAATAATTTATGTGTCCTCCTAGTGCTGCTTTGACCTCCTGCCCACAATTTGGCATAGAATCTACCAAATTTTTAAAAATCTTTTAGATTTCTGGGTCTTCAAACCAAATCTGAAGGATAGTGGCGGTAAGCTTAATTTTTTGCAATTTTTTTTTTTTTTTTCCTAATTACCTAGTGACTCTCAATTGGATTGAGATCTGGGGAGTTGCCTGGTGACTCTCAATTGGATTGAGATCTGGGGAGTTGCCTGGTGGCCATTTAAGTGTTGTAATATTATTTTCTATCATGAATTTCTTGACTTTTTTCAATGCATGGCATGTGGCTAAATCCTGCTGAAATATTCCGTTTCCATTTGGAAACACTTTTAACATCTCTGGAAATAAATGTTTTTGCTGAACCTCAATCTAAGTGTCAGAGTTGCCATCAACTGGGTATCATTCCAGTAACTTGGTAGAGTGCTCCTGGTTCTACCGCACATTCTGGATACCATAGGCTTACCATTTGAGATTCTGGATATTCATAGGCTTACCATTAGAGTGACGAATAAAATTTGATTGCTGGCCTACTACTTAGAAATGTGATTCATTCAAAATTCAATCAACAATAAAACAAGTTAACAATTATCAAGCCTGTTATTAAATAAATTAACAATCATCAAATCTCTTTAATTTTTTATCTTCAGTTTTTAAAATTAGTATTATTATACAAATATAATAAAAAAATAGCTGTAAAGTTAACAACTAGATTTTGTCACACCCTTCTCCATTGTTATTTAGTCCACTTTTTGTATTCCTTTGCCCACAAGAGACGCTTCTCCTTCGTGGAATCTCTAAGTAATGGTTTATTAAAAGATTTTCTTGCAAACCTTTTAACAGCTATAAACCTCCTCCGCACAGTACTCGAGCTGACATGGATATTATGCGTAACTAAATCATTCATTAGTTGGTCTACTTTAGATTTTTGATACTCTTCAGCATCAGTTATCTCTCACTGAGGTCTTTTGTTTTCGATTACACTTGTCATAATGTGGCTATTTCTCGTTGAAATTTATCTTTTTCTTGGTGTAGTGTCTATCTTTGTTATTTACTTTTTTTTTAATGACTTATTCTTCTAATCACAGTTAAATTAGAGAAAACGTAAAAGGCTAAAATAATAATTAAAAAAATGTAAGCAACATATAATTAAATAAAAACTGTTTGATGCTATTATTTTGGACTATACTATCTAATTTTCTGTTTATCTAATTTTCTGGTTGTAGTATTTTTAGATGTTTGTTGTAAAGGTAAACGCTATTCTTCGTCAAGTTAACAAATCTTTTCAAAAGACTATTACAACTCGTAACCAACCACATACTGTAAAATGACCCGCGGATTGTCTACAAGCTGAAAACTACTTTCTTGGTTAACTTTTATTGAGATTTCTTTAGCTAGACTCCCTCTAGACCTCATCAGTTTGTCACCAACTTTGGGCAAACATAATCCCAACATATGAAACAATTATTGCCAATCTTTTTGCCTTCTTTGCTCACTATATTAAAGTGTCTCTTTAAATAATCAAGACTCACACGTTCTCATTGATAAAAACATTATCAACGTAAGTGGACGTTCTATTTTTAATCAATAATGGCGTTTACAACGGATTTTATAATCATTGGTGAACATTTGATACAAAACTAAGTCGTGTTAACCAATACCTTTTGTGAAAAATGCCACTGGATTTTTGATAAATTTACTGATAAATCAAGAAGTCAAAAGCAAGGGGCGAAATGTTAATTCGGAAAAGAACATGCGTGTTGCAATAGCTGATTAAACAAAACGATTTTAAAGTTGAAATGAATCTTGTACCTTTAGATAATGATTTAGCTGACGCGTTAACAAAAGTTTGCATCAGATTGCTTAATAAATTTATAATAAATTGGTAATTTGAATGCTAAAGAAAATTGGAAAAGATTAAATTTTGTAAAAATTGTGCAAAACAATGAAGACTAAAGTGAAAGTATTGACAAGGTAAGTAAAGGTGAGTCCTAATAAATTCTAAGGTAAGGTAAGTAAAGTGTATATCAAAGCCGAGAATATTGGATGCCTAAAAAAACGAGAGCAATGCATGATTAAAAAATCTCTTGATTACTGTTTGTGTGACCCTTAAGGGTCAAGGAGGAGTGCGATTATATTAGGTCAAATGGGATATATTTTATGTTGAGTAGTTTGAAATTTATTTAGGTTTTTAATCAATAATAGTTGTTAATATATATATATGTAATTTGTAAGAGACAGGTTTTCAATGTGTTAAGAAAAGAAAACCTTATTTCTAAAGGACCTTTTTCGAAATTTTTTTTAAAAGTTGACGATTCTGCCCCTTCACCTCAAAACCCATGTTGTCAGCCCTAATATTTGTTTTTCAGAGTCAATAACTCTTCATCACTTCATCACTTATTAAATCTTATTTACCGTTTTAAAAAAATCCTAAAAATAAAAAATAGTTGAATATTTAACATAATATTCTTCACAGTCTTTTTCCTTTATAAAATTAACATTCGAAATTTTTTAATGAACGTTGTAAATATTCTTTTGTAAATGTTTGTTTAAAAACATTAGTAAATATTCCATAACTTAAATTCTCATTATTACAGCATTTTTAGATTTTAGAAGTTTTTTTTTGACGCATATTGTTGTTTTTTTAAATATTTTAACTCAAAATGAAAAAACGTTAAGATAGAAAAATAATATTTTAACATTGTAAAATGTGCTAAATACTGAGATATCAAAAAATATTAGGATTCTCAACTAAGCTATTCTAATACTGTCCCAAAAACTTTTACCTTTTCAAACTTTTTTGAAATGGTGTCTCCCTTTTGGTAACCTGCAGTCACAAACAACTTAAAAGACAATAAAAACACTAAAGTGCCGGGAAATAAACTAGATGACTAAAAGCTTTTAGAGCATGAAGAAACAAATACAGTAAAAGTATGTAACTTTGCTAAACGAGTCAAGAGAGAATGGTTAATGGTGCTTCCCCCTTCTTTTTTTCTATAGAGGCTTTTTTTTTTTTTTTTGAAATATAAAAAATTCTAGATAATTTTTTTTAAGACTTGACAGTTTTTAAGAATTAACGGTTGTGCCCCCCCCCCCACCTTGAAACCCGTGTCGTCGGTCCTGTAACCGTTTTATATATTTTAATGGATTTGTATATTTAATTTGGGATTTCAAAAATTTATAGTGGCTATATATGAAAATTTAAAATTTTGATTTTTTT